GGCTTGAGTTGTACCAAAACTACTTTTTTCCAAGTTCCATTATGACTGTGTCTACATGTGTCTCTGTAGCTTAGCAAACCACACAAATTAACAGTCCTCTGCTCGGCTGGTCTCTGCCTCAGCCTCAGCCTCAGGCTGCTCTGAGCTTCTTGCTGTCCCCCACTCCCTATCTCAATACCCATCTGCTGCCAGCCCTTTCCCCTGTGCCTCCAGAACCCTGTCCCATTGTCAAGAAACTCCCATGCACCCTCTGCTTCTTCAGAGTAGTCGGGCTATTTATTTACCTTTATTGAAACCTGACCTTCCTCCAGGACCCTGCCTTGCCAGTAGCCCTGTACAAAAAGGCTTCTCATCTTCCTACTCCCGACACATCATAAAACCAGAATGTGGTCTCAGCATTGCCACTTGCACCCTTACACAAGAATCCCTTCACCTCTGCTCTCCAGCCATCCCCGCCCCCTCATCACTGAGCCCCCAGTTGCTCCTTCTGCATCAAAGATTTTAGCCCCTGGACCATAGCCATCTTCCTCAGCCCCTGGCCTGCCATCCTCTTAGTGACTTCAGTAGCCATGGGTGTTGCTGGTCCCCCAGTCCTTAGGCTCTTCTTCATATTGCCATGGTCACCAGCTCCCTGGACACACCTGAATCTCTCAATCATCCATGACTGGTCCCTCCATCATGTCAGAATCAACCCTCCTACACTGAACTGCTTCCTCACTCCCCTTTCCCCTGAGGCCCTCATCTCCTCATTTCAAAATGGGCAAGATGATGATGATTATTCATTCTCCACCGGGATAATGAAATAACATATAAAACCCTCCTTTTAAAGTTGTGGAACAATATGAAAACAGATGGTATTGCTTTTGTGTTGCCTCAGGCCTTCTTCAGGCAATGCAGTAAAGTAGAAAGAACACAGGTTTGGGGCCAGACAGAATCGCTTTTCAATCCTTGTTCTATCATTTGCTTGCTGTGTGATCTTAAGTCATTTACTTCATTTTCCTGACACACACATCTCTTCCCCATTTGTAGAATCTAGTGCAATAATGAGAACTACCTCCCAGAGTTGCTGTGAAGATCAAATGAAAAAGTGAACTACTGGAAAGCACTTGATAGGATGCCAGGCACACAGTAAGCATTCAATGCAAAAGAAACACTGTAGTTATTATAACAGAAAAACAACGCTGTTTTCAACCACAACTGCCTTCTAAGAAGACAGATCCTAATGCACTAACAGTCCTTTGTCCTGCTCTGGCCTTCATGGGTGCGGATATGTGTTTGGGAACAGCAGGGGGAGCACCAAATTGCTCTGTGTCAAAGAGGAAGAAGAATTTGAAATTCACTTAACACAGTGGGAGGGAGAGGTAATAAGGAGAGACAGAGAGGGAAAGGAAAAAGATGAGTAAGACAATCAGCATAAGGGTAGCTGCTGCACGGGCAGAGATTCAGAAGAAACCCTCCAACAGCAGGTGGGCAAAAGGGCGGTGGAGCATTGAGATGCCCAAAATAGGGGAAACCTTGGTCAAACATGGGACGTGACCACCTTCTGTGCCTCTCCAGACTTCAAGAAATGCTGTTACTTTCAAGAATGCTTTTTGAGAGGGGGATTGTTAAGGTGAAGGAGCAGGGAGGTTGAGTAATGCAGTTTGAGAGGTGTCAGAGATCGGAGGCAGACGTAACCATGAGAGCACAGGCTCTCACAGAAATCTTGTGGAAGACTTTGAACTTATAAGAGCTATGAAATGTGAAAATTGAGGCTCAAGCCCATTGCCTTTAGGTCTGAAAAGGGCAGAGACCTTACCTGACATTTAGATTGGGTCAATCTAAACAGCTACTTCCCTGGTGACTAGCAGGTAACCACCAGAGGAAAAAAAACAAAACAGGAGCCTGTGTTGTGGCATAGCGGGTAAAGCCGCCACTGTGATGCCAGCATCCCATATGCATGCTTGTGTGTGTCCTGGCTGCTCCATTTCTGATCCAGCTCCCTGTTAACAGCTTGGGAAAAAGCAGTGGAAAATGCCCCAACTGCTTGGGTCCCTATCATCCATTAACTCCTGGCTTTGTCTTGGCTCAGCACTGGCTGTTGCAGCCACGTGGGATCTGAGCCAGCAGATGGAGGACCTCTCTGTCTCTCTGAGTCTCTCTGTCCCTCTATAACTCTGACTTTCAAATAAATGAATAAATCTTCAGAAGGAGGAGGAGGAGGAGGAGGAGAAGGGAGGGAGGGAGGGAGGGAGGGAGGGAGGGAGGAAGGGAGGGTGGGAGGGAGGGAGGAAGGAAGGAAGGAAGGAAGGAAGGAAGGAAGGAAAAAAAAAGGAAGGGAGGGAGCCAGCGCTGTGGCACAATGGGTTAAGCCGTTTTCTGTGGTGCTGGTCCGAGTCCTGGCTGCTCCAATTCTGATCCAGCTCTCTGCTAATGGCCTGGGAAAGCAGTACAAGATGGCCCAAGACCTTGGGCCCCTGCACCTGCATGAGAGACCTGGAAGAAGCCCCAGGCTCCTGGCTTCGGATTGGCCCAGCTCTGGCCGTAAAGGCCATTTGGGGAGTGAACCAGCAGATGGAAGACTTTTAGTGCGCGCTCTCTCTCTCTCTCTCTCTCTCTGCCTCTGCCTCTCTATAACTCTGCCTTTCAAGTAAATAAATAAATCTTTAAAAATAAAATAAGCCTGTCATGCTTTCCAATGATTTCCTCCTCAAATACATGTCCAAGGGTCTGAGGCAGAACAGTTACTAGTTGCTTGGAGTCTATAAAATAGGGTGCTTTTCCAATTTTGGAAGAACACCTTTTATGTAGTCGTCCCAGAGGGCTTGCCAAGGAAGGCTAAGGCTGCCCGGTGACACTTTGTAAAGGTTCAGTCTCAATACTCCCTCGTGTGTCCTAAATCGGAACTGCACTCTGGCTTGTCAGTAGGCATGGTGCTACAGTCTGGTTCCAGGGGATGAATGGAAGGGAAGCACTGACTATATACCAGAAACCTTTGGAGGATACTTATCTATATTAGCAACCATTCAACAGAAGAGGAAACTGAAACCAACAAGGCTAAATGAGTTGTCCAAGTGTCCATGAATAACGAGTCAAAGGGGATCTAACCAAAGAGAAGAACTGGAAAAAACAGTGAGGTTTACTGCACTTCAGGACAATATCCAGCCTCCTTAGCAAATCCCTTTCCTCTCTAGTTTTACCTCCAACCATAATGGCGGAAAAAAAGGGCTGGGGGAAGAAGAAAAAAAAGGGGCCGGGCCCACCTTGTTTCAGGCCTTTCATCCACTTTCAAAAAGGAGTGGTCACGTAGTCTGATTGGCAGCTGGGTGTACAAGTGGGGTCAGGTAGGGGCATGAGATCACACAGGGGTGTGGTGAGCCGTGGTCTTCCAGTTCACAAAGCTAATCAATTTTATCCTATACCCCTGCCTACATCAGCGCCGCAGGCAGAGGCTTAACCTGTGCCACAGCACCTCCTCCCACCAAATAAGCTTTTATTTTAAGATTGATTGATTGGAAAAGCAGAATTGCAGAGAGAGGGAGAAAGAGATCTTCCATCTGCTATTTCACTCACCAAATGGCTGCAACGTTCAGGACTGGGCTAGGCTGAAGTCAGGAGCCTGGAACTCCAACTGGGTCTCCCATGCGGATACAGGGGCCCAAGCACTTGGGCCGTGTTCCAGCCCAATGTGCTTTTCCAGCCACATTAGCCCAGAGCTAGATCAGAAGTGGAGCAGCTGGGACTCAAATCAGTGCCTGATTAGGGTGCCAGCATTGCAGGCAGTGGCTTAACCTGCTATGCCACAGCACTGGCCCCCAGGAACTTTTTTTTTTTTTTTTTTGACAGGCAGAATGGACAGTGAGAGAGAGACACAGAGAGAAAGGTCTTCCTTTTCCGTTGGTTCACCCCCCAATGGCCGCTGCAGCCAGCGCACCGCACTTATCCAAAGCCAAGAGCCAGGTGCTTCTCCTGGTCTCCCATGCGGGTGCAGGTCCCAAGGACTTGGGCCATCCTCCACTATACTCTCTGGCCCCCAGGAGCCTTTTGAAGTACACGCACGTACACACAGACACACATGCGTGCATACACATGTATACTGACATACAGCATTTGAGGCACAGCAGTGAGCAAGACAGATAGAAGCCATGCCCTGATGGATCTTACACTGCAAAAGTCAAATGACAATGCTGAGAGGTTAACCCAGGATAGTCACGACAGGAATAAAGGGAGCAAATGACTTCGCCAGGGTTGCCATAGCACAGTACCACAGGCTGGTGGCTTAAACAGTGGA